TCATTCATGGCTTTGCCTCTGGTCTCAGCTTGGCTCCTTTGTTCTGTCCCATTGTTTCAGATCGTTCTGTCCCATTGTAGCTGATGTCTCTGGTCTTGGCTTCCACCGCTTCACACAGAGACCTCTAATGTGCTCTATCTCCCATGGTCCTGGGATTACTTCTTGTGTCCAACATGGCTCTTATGCAGTTGACCCCTGGCCTTATTCTTACTGATGAGGTTAAGCTTCTCCATAGACTCTTCCTAGAGATGACATTGATATGCTTCTAGTATATCCCATCCAGAGAGGTCCACAGATGCAGTTGCTGTTTCTGTTAGTGAGAAAAAAAAAAAAAAGAAATGAAAATGAACAAATCATTGATATTGCCAAATTATTTCATATGATATTGAGTACTTTTTATCATCAAGGTCATATTTTCAAACTACTGATCCTTCTTATTTGTTCAGAACTTTCACATTTCAATCATCAGGAATTACTAATGCATTTTGATTGTATGTTTGATCAATTTCATGTCACTGAAGTAGGTAAGATATCTCCAGTTAATTCATCTTTGGGGTATGAAGTTGGTGCAAAACTTTAAATGATAGTTGTATGAACTGGGTTTTCTTTTTTTAATTAAATTAATCATTTTATTGGGGACTCTTACAAATCTTATAACAATCCATCATTCAATAGTATTAAGCGTTTGTACATATGTTGCCATCATTTCCAAAACAATTTCTTTCTACTTGAGCTCTTGGTATCAGTTCTTTTTTCCCCACCCTCCTCTACCCTCCCACCCTCCCACTCTCGTGAATCCTTCATCAATTAGATATTATTATAATTAGATATTGTTTTGTGTCTTACACTGTCTGTTGTCTCCCTTCACCCACCTTTCTGTCATTCGTCTCTCCGGAGTGGGGGGTGCTATATATCCAACCTTGTGATGGGTTCTCCCTTTCTCCCCCACCCCTGCACCCACTGTCCCCATATCCTCATGATATTTCTACTCCTACTACTGTTCCTGAGGGTTTTATCTGTCCAGAATCCCATGTGTTGAGAACTCTTATTTGTACCAATGTGTGTACTCTGGTCTAGCTGGATTTTTAAGGTAGAACTAAGTCAGGTAGTGCGGGGGGAGGAAACATTCAGGAACTAGAGGAAAGATATGTGTTTCCTTGGTGCTATACAGCACCCTGGTTGAATAGTCCCTTCCTTGTAACACCTGTGTGTGGGGATGTCCAATTATCTACAGGTGGACTTTGGATCTATACTCCAACCCCCTTTGTGGTAGTTAAATAATCTGGTGTCAACTTGTGGAGGGGTGGAGTCTAGCCTGTCAATGAGCTTCCAGCTTGATGACCTCATTTGGAGGCTCAACAGAGATAAATAGCTCACTGGAGGCCAGATTCACTCACGCCCTGCAAGACATTCCTGTTGACAGGTCACATAGAACTATACTGATGGCAGCCAGAGCCTTGGAGCTGGAGGAGCCATATGGAGACACATGCCAGTGTTAAGATGCTTCCACTGCCACTGGATCCACAAGACTCTCACCCACTGGCCTGTGATCTTCCTGCACTCATCATCATTGTATGTGTTGCATGAGTCTGAAGAGGAATTTTCAGACTGATATTGGACGTGTGGGCTAATATTGGACTTTTGGACTTGATCTGGACTGGGCTGGGATGTTTTCTTAATGTACAATTGCTCTTATATAAAGCTATTTTCTAAACACATATGAATATCTATGAAATTGTTTCTCTGGTCTACCCAGACTAACACACCCCTCTTTCACAGCAATATCATTATTTGATTTGGATCTTTTGATACCTGATACCTACTCCCATCTACACCTCATGATCACATAGGCTGGTGTGTTTCTTCCATGTGGGCTTATTTGCATCTCTGTTAGTTGGCCGCTTGTTAAACTTCAAGCCTTTAAGACCCCAGATGCTACACCTTTTGATAGCCGGGCACCATCTGCTTTCTTCACATTTGCTTATGCACCCATTTTTGTCTTCATCAAGTGGTGTTGGGAAGGTGATTATCAAAGAGTGCCAGGTTATTAGAACAAAGTGTTCTTGTGTTAAGGGAGGCCTTGTATAGAGGCCCAAAGTCCATGTGCTATCTTAACACTTAACATATAAGCATATATACATTGGCCTTTATCCCTTTCATTATAAATTAATGTATTTACATGTATACATACCTATAGCTGTACCTCTATAAATAGGTTTGCCTCTTGCTTCTCTCCTCTGTTTCCTTTCACCTTCTTCCTATCCCACTATCATGCTCACCCTCCATGGCTCTCAGTAGTTCCTCTCAGATACATTGGGCTTGATCAAACTCCACCAGGCATTCTGCACCCTCTTCACCATCAATTTTAGATCTCTTGTTGTTCCCTTATCCCTGAGTGTTGACTCCACACTCCCCCTCCCTGTCCCTCCACTCCCCATATAACCCCAGATCCACTGGTCCCGTTGTTTTCTCCTCAGGATTATTCTTCCTGGCTATCTTATATAGATAGACAGGGTGAAAGAAAAAGAAAAACATACAAACAAAACAAAAAATCCCCTGATAGTTCCAGGTCTGTCTGCTGACCGTTATGCATGTTTTCAGATCAAGTGTGATGAGGTGTCAAGCCCTGTCGTCAAAGTCAGAAGTCTATTTTCAGGATTCCTCAGGGACTTAGTTACTTTGCTCCCCTTGCGGCCCTGTTACACTCCACTGTGTATGGGGCAGATCGGGCACACTTTCCACATAGTGTCTTCAGGGCTTTCCCAGTAGTGCTATAAGTCAATGAGAGAACATTGAGTCTTGTGGTGGGGCTGGGCCTATGGTCCTCTGTGTGCATTGGCTACTCTGAGCAAGGATGTCATCCCTGGGGCTTGGTGGGGCATGATGAGGTTCTCTCTCTCTCTCTCTCCTCTTTAGCTCCAACTGGGCTTTCTTAAATCATAGAGATTCTATTCTGTTTTTGAGATAATCATATTCAAAATATATCTTGAAATTTTCTTTTTGACATTTACTCTGATGCCATTCCTTTTCAATGTGTTATTTCCAGCATAGCACACCACGTGAGAATCTGATTCAAAGTGGCCAACCACAGTCTATTTCAGTTCACTACTGGTCAAGTTATCCATTTTTTCATTTTGTATTTCATTTTGACAGCTTCCTATTTCCCTAGGTACATTTTACATTCTGATTATATGGATGTTTACAGATGTTCATTTTTGTTTTGAGTTGTGCTGCATCAGTTAGACGTGCTGAAAGCTCTGCTCCGCCCAAGCCTATTGAGGTAGACTTGCCTTTGAGAAGGCAGCTCTTCCCCAGTTGTATTTTGAATACCTCCCAATCTGAGGGGGCTCATCTTCCTGTAAATACTCGTGGAAAAGGTCATTATCTTTTCATTCCCTTTTCCACAAACTTTCTGAAACTGTGTGTGTTAAGTGTATGTTTTCTTTTTGGTTGCTTTTTTCACTCAACATGATAATTTTGAGAGTAATTCATGTTCTTGTATGAACCAGTAGTTCATTTTTAAATGAGTGAACATTCTATTGTGTGTCAATACTACAGTTTTTTTTTATCCAGTCACTTATTGATAATCATTTTGGGATTTTCCATTTTTGGGCTATTTCAAATAAAGCTGCACATGTTGTAATATTTGCATAAGTATGTTGTCTCTTTTTTCTTGGGTAAAAATCAAGAAGTGTTTTGAGTGGGTCACTTTTATGTTTAACTTTTTAAGAAGTTGCGGAACTATTTCCATTATACGTTGCTATAAGTAATGTATGAGTTCCAGTTATTCCACATTCCTGCTAACGTTTGTGATAATAAGTCTAATTTTTTTAAGTGGTAGTAGATGTGTTCTCTCAGGAGTATCATTGAGCTGGAAACATTTTTTTTTAGGGTTTTCTTCACTTGGGAATTCTGGCATTATGTATAATGATATTTTTACTTCAAATCTAATTGTATTTTTCAGGCTTGGCATATTGTTCTTTTGTTTTTCTGAGTCCTGGGTGGAAATAACTTCTGGATCTCTCTGCAGCTGTGTTGGAGTATTCTAGTTCCTTTTGCATTGACCAAGGTCACCTCTAGAGAGCTTTGTTTCCTGCCATAGACTGAATCAGAACCAGTCTACTATTCTAAGTGGCTTCCAGTTTCCTCTTAGGCCTTCATTTGGGAGATTTCCTAAATTTATTTGCAAGCTTGGTCATGAAACAACGACATGTACATGGACAAAGGGGCTTCACAAATCTTATGGAAAAATGGAATTAACACATGACATTTTCCCACAAACTTTTTGAAGCCCTGTTATGCGCGGATATTGTGTACTCTATATGTATGTATTGTGTGCATTTGTATACAAAGAGATCATAAAATATGTTACATTTTTCTCTTTTTTCCCACAGTGATTGCCTCATGTAGAATCTCATTAGTTGTGTTTGAGGGTCTCGGTTGCTCTACACTTTCCAGCATTTGTTGTTTTCTATTAGTGTTGTTGTTTTCTTTAACTTTGCTATTAATAGTTGGGTAAAATGATAGCTCATCTTCATGTTGATTATTTGCATCTCTATAAGGAGTTATTCAAAAGGAAAATGAATTATGTTTTTAAAAGTAAATTTCAGGCATTAGTCACCTAGATGAGTTGGTGTTTTTTATAGGATAGTTTGCAAAATTATTTTCAAGTTGTGGTGAAGATAGCTGTAATTTTCTTGAGAGACGTCAGACTATGCTGAGGTCAGGGCAACAGCAGGATCTGGGTGTAGAGTAGGTGGATGATTCTGATTCTTCTTTTCATCAGTTTTAATTATCAATACTTTGAAGTAACGTCTGATTTCCTTGATGGAAATCCACTGATTACTAACTCCTCTAATTGATGAGGAAAGCCACCTTCTTCATAGCTTTAGGAACGTAGTCATTAAAGTTCGCCTCTCCTTAAATTGATTTTGTGATATGATTAATTTCCCAAATTCAAGAATTGTGACCATTTGCATTTCTCTTTTCTGCGTGTCCAGCATTCTTTCAACATGAGATCTTCCCTGCAAGCGGTGGCACTCTGGGGAGTAAAGGCACCCCCTCACAGCATTACTGCCATCATGATTACTGATGACCAACAAACAATTGTCACGGGAAGTCAAGAGGGTCAACTCTGTCTCTGGAATCTCTCACCGGAACTAAATGTTAGTGTAAACTTTTTGTATTGAGATAGTCAACACTCAGAAAATAAGCAGAGTTGCTTATACCAACCCACACAGTGGAAACTTTACACGATGGTTAAAAAGATGCTTCCTAAAGTAATAAACTTATTTTAATTCCACACCTAGGGGAAAATATTGTATGCTGTGTGAAAGTCACACTTAAAAATTATATTATGAATATTGCTCATCTTAGCTACCAATTAAATGCCATCACCTTTTAAGTTATGCTGAGTTTTCCCATTTTATATCCTGAATTAAATGTTTAAGTAACTGAACTACAGACATGGAAGTATAATTCTGAAAATTATGGCTCATTAATCTAAACAAAGGGTGCCCTTGAAAACCACGATTAGCTAAATGAGTAATATCTTAATTATCTGGGTGCTTCTGTCTGTTTGGCCTTCTTGCTATTCTTTTAGTCTGTGCTTGCCTGTGATTTTACAGAGCACATCAAAAAGCTCTAAATCCAATTTACTCTTGTCGTTTCTTTATTTCAGAACCTGACCTCACCTAGGATTTGGCCCATTGATTAGCAATTAATTGTCCCTGTCCCAAGTCATAAACATTTAACATATCAGAATAGATATTTGCTTAACACTAGTGGGCTCTAGACCCAATTTGAACACTTAAACTAATGATGTACTTAAAGTATACTGCCCTCGTTAAGAAGCCTTTTAAAGATCAAAGACTATTTTTAGCCTTTAAAGTTTGTCACTTTAAAACCTAAATTAACAATTAATTGTAATTCTATTTTATTGTGTAATTAATTAACATCTCCCATCACCGAGCAGTTCTTCTGCAGGACTGCCAAGAACTAGCTAGCTCAGTAGCTCAGCTGAACGTTGACGAACATTCCTGAAGGAAGGAACTGGTATCATTGCCACAGTTGCACTTTGAGAATGGTGACCCTCCCATATATTTTATATTACCATTTAAACTCAGACTCTTAAATGGCTTAAAATACTTAGCTACTATTTATAATAGAGAAGCAGAGAGTTTTCTGGGGGGCTCCATTGTTTTTTTATAATATATGGGTTGCTAGAAGCTTAAGAAATTTGGAATCCTCTCCTCTATCCTTTTGTATAAATCCATATTTTTTCAGCATTATTCCAAAGTCATTTATTGAATGCATATAATAAGTTAGACAGTATGTTAGGCACCTAAGTTCATCCTTTAGTAAGACCTGGTGCTGGCTGCTTAGGAGCGGCAGTGTAGTAGGAGATGCAGGAAGGGTGGATAATGTGCAGTAATGGCAGTTTTGGTTTTCATATTTGTAGGTTAGGAACTTCTACAGTATTAAATCCAGAAAAAATGTAAGTGGGGACCTCATGACGGACCATGGGAGAGATGCTAAGAAAACATACTGGTTGGAAGTTAGCCACTTGAAGAGATGTAGGAGAGAGGAGAAACACTGCAGGGTACCTTCAGACTTGGGTCTTCAGTATTAAGTAGTATAGGTGAGATGATGGTATCATGTATTTGCCTAGGTAGTCGAAGGGATACGTTGATTCCGAGTCCTTGAGACCCTGTAAGACCTTTCCATTGGGTTTCCAAGACGAATCTTTATGAGTGAAATGGACACATCTTTCTCCTCAGAAGTGCCTGCTGGTTTCAAACCACCGACCTTTCAGCTAAAAGATGAGTGCTTTAACCACTGCACTACCAGGGCTTTCTAGGAATAAGCCCACTGCCATCCAGTCCATTCTGACTCAGAGTCTCTATAGGACAGAGTAGAACTGTTCCATGTGGTTTGTGAGACTGTAGGTCTCTATGGGAATAGAGAGCCTCATCTTTCTCCTGAGGAGAGGATAGTAGGTTTGAACCTCTGACCCTGTGGTTAGCAGCCCAATGGCTGGCCTACAGCACCACCAGGTGCCACTTTTCTTAGGGATGGGGAGCGAAAAAAAGGTGACAACTTCTGGACATATTGGCATGTCCATGTATTTAGTGCTGACTGAGTATACCTATCAGTCTTTGGCTGTCCATGGATTGATCTGGTTCATGGTCGATCAGATCATGGTTGATCTGGTTCAGGGAGCTAGAGAATGAGTCTTCCTGTCCAGGGCTGCCCATCACAGGCTTAGACTACCTGACCTGCTTCCAAGTTCAGATGCACAGCCTCTTCAATTCTCCTGATAAGAACTTTTTCATTTGGGAGTACTGTTAGTTCTAATTTTGATAGCTGCTGCTTATCATACACCTTAAGCGTTGAGAAAGGTCAAGCGAATGTCCTTTTAGAAACGCTCCTTTAGTAGTGCAATATTCTATTGTTTTTAAAACATCTAATCAAACAATGGCAAAATGAGGACTGGCAACATAGTGTAGAAAATAAATTTTTATTATCCACAAAGCTTTTTCTAGTGCTTAAATTTGAATTTAGTCCAGCAAAGATAACCTCTTCTCCATTTGAGGGTAATTTACTCTGTTTTGTGTTTGTTTTCTGGATATATATATATATATATATATATATATATATATATATATATATTCCCCCTTAGAATTTTTTTTAACCTTAGCTATTCATTATTTATTTATTTTTCCACAATTAAGGGGATTTATTAGAGAAGTTAATAGGTTACCACAAGTCAGGAACAGCAAAAAGTAAGGATATAGTCATTGGTCTCCTTAGCTGGCACCCAAATCTCTCTCTGATGCTCAGGCTATCATATATTTTTAAAAATTCACATATAAGAGGAAGACACAAATAATTTAAATCATAGGTTAATTAATTTTTTTCTTTAAGGTTAAGAATTATTATTGCTATCTCTAGAGCCAAACAAGGCATTATAGTGGTTACCAAAAATGTAATAGTTTCTCATCTTATTTTGTAAACCTATGCTTGAATTCTGAAATTTGGTCATTAGTATGCTACTATCAAATGGGTGATATTTTGTGCAGGGTAAGCATCAACATTGACTTATTTGTATTCAAAACAGACATGTGGTAAAACATGTCTGGAAATCATCTAGATATTATGTTTGATATAAAACAAAAAAAGACACAAAAATGTGTACAACCCCATTTTTTTTACCTAGAGGTGTATTTTTTCCATGGAATTTGATATGGCATCTATCATTATAAAATGTTTCTTATTTATAATTAGGAAAACTATATAATATGATGTGTATATTCTTCCATTAAAAGGAATTTCCATATGTTTAATAGCTTACTGTCACCATTTTTAGATTTCAGCAAAGGCACTTCTTTTTGGTCATTCGGCTTCAATAACATGTTTGGCGAGAGCAAGGGACTTCTCCAAACAGCCTTATGTTGTCAGCGCTGCTGAAAATGGGTAAGTAAGATATGTGGAGCCTGTCCCCACCACGTCTCTGTTTTTGTTTACTTCTTTATTTGATCTACAATTTTGTACAGACTTTCAGGACTGCAGGAAACCTTTGTTCATGTTATGTATAAGAGCATTTAGATCTCGTTTGTATAACTTGAATGAGGGTCCCAAGGAAAGCCATCAATATTGTGACATTCTTTCTAGAGCTCAGGATACGGGAGGGTCACAGCGACAGGGCAGCTTATGTATCAGGCAGTGTGTCCTAAGGCTACTGGCAAATGCCTCTCTCTTAATTGTTTAAGAATTGGAAATGGAAACATCTGGTTTCTAGTATTTTCTTCATACACAGACTGTCCCCAGTTTATGGGATGGGGTTATGTTCCAATGATTCCGTGGTAAGTTGGTTCTGATGTAAATTGAATACCTCAGTTTTTTATTTCAGTTTATACTATCAGTGTCTTTTATTGTCAGTGTCTATATAGAAACTGTGTTTTCGTGGGTCGGAAACATTGCATGTAAGCAGGAATATATATTTTAATACACGTACACATATAAAACACCAATCAAAACAATATCACAACAAGAGCAAGTGATGGTAAGTTCAGTTTACGGTAACATGACTTGCTCATTAATTAGGGACTACCTGTAAGTAGTAGCTGACTTTGAATCCTTAAGAAAATTCATCTAAGCAGTTTTACTTTTACAAAACAATTCCGTAGTCCCACTCGTCTTGCTGCGCCTGTGTCTGATGCTATTATAAAACTCAAAGAGAAAGACTTGGTGGTAAGTGGCATGGCAGGAGAGAAAAGGAAAAGGGACAGTGATTTGGATGCTGTTTCATGGCACGAAGGTTTGTTCCACCTAAATAGGACTTAATTGTAGGCCCCACTAATGGGAGAGCTTATAGGAACTTAGACTCTTTTGATGAGTTATAGGCCAGATTATACTGAGGAATGTGGAATCAATTCAGCATGCATTCATGTAGGAGTGTGGTTGGGTTGCTTGTTGAAAGAAGAGAATCCCTCCTTTATTTATTTTACTCCAAGGATAAATAATATGACTGAGTTATGAGAAACAAAATAATCATGAGGTATCAAGTGTCTGGTTTGCAGAAAGAGACTAGTTCCACAAACTGTCAAGTGGAATAGATATCAGGTGTAGTTCTTCTCATGCTTTATAGTAAAGCAAGAAGTATTATACTCAGAGAGATTGAATTTGGGTGATTCTAAAATGATATGTCACAGTACATTCGTTTTCCATATTTTCCAGTAGCTTTCATGCACCGAGTCTGCCGCCACAAAGCCTGCTAAACATACTTACATGTTTATGCCCAAGATATGAGGATTTGGGAAATGTCTTAGTTACCTAATGCTGCTATAATAGAAATACCACAAGTGGAGAGTTTAATGGACATACACTTGTTTGCTCATAGTCTAGGAGGAGAAGCGTGAGTTCAATGTCCCAGTTCTAGAAGGTGTCCTCTGTCAGGTTGGGAGTCTGTGATCGTCATGGAAACATATCACTAGGCCTGTGTTAGTCTGGGTACTTTGGAGAAACAAATCCACAGCGACTCATGTATAAGAGAGAGTTTTATGTAAAGAAAAGGTGCATCACGAAAATATCCCAACCCAATGCTGCCCAAGCCCACAAGTCCAACATTAACCCATTAACCCAACACCAGTCCACAAAGTCCTCCACCTCACAAAACAGAGGAAATGATGTCGACTGCAGGAGGAAAGCTGAGTCAGTGAACGAACAAGCATCTCAGCACTAGCAGGGGTCTCCACACGGCTGCTCCAGCACCCAGGGCTGCATCGGGATAGGTCCATGTAGCTTCTCCTTGGGGATGTCTTGTAGGAAGTCAATCTTGCAAGCCGAAGCAGGGAACTGCTAAGGCAGCTGCACCCGGTGCAACCATCACAAAACAAGAGACCCGAGAACTAGAAAGGCGAGGCTTCACCACCCATTTATCCCTCCGCCTTTCAACTAGCCCCACATGTGATTATTGGCCAGGTTGGCACAATTAACTAACTCAAGGCCTTTTCGCCCGGGGAGCTGCTTGTGGGTTGAGACCATCAAACTTTGCATCAACAGTTAAGTCCTTAAACACTGCTCCATCAGGCCACCCTAGTCGTAGACACTGTGGTTAGAATTGATGACATATTTTGGGGTGAGGAGGGGTCACAATGCAATCCATAATGATGATTTATTTTCATGGGGTTACTCAAAGACCTCAGAAAAACTTAATAGCCAAGTGATAAAAATACAAACTGAACTGACTGCTATGGAGTTGATTCTGAATCAGAGCGACCCTCTAAGACAAGGCACAACTGTCCTTGTGGGTTTCTGAGACTGTAATTCTTTATGGAAGTAGAACGCCTCGTATTTTTCTGGAGCAGCGGCTGGTGGTTTTGAACTGCTGACCTTGTGGCTAGCAGCCCACCACCTGAACACTACACCACTAGTGCTCCTTAGTTAACTGAGAAATACATCTGAAAAGTAGCTGGCTCCCAGCTATAAGTTTTGACCCAGTAGCCTAGCTCCAGAAAAAGATGATCATTCTTTGTCATACATATTAACGCACATGTAAATATGATCGTAAAAAGGCTTATAAGTCTGATTTGTTCTGAACAAAACAACAGCACATTGTTAGAAAATATAAATAAACACAGACCATAAAATGTAATAGCATATGTAAACACATACCATCACTCTTGGTCCATAGTAGCATATAATAGGGCAGTGATCAGATTCCATATTTTGTAGTTTTCTTGAAGTGGATAAAGACATTGGTGAAATTTATACTTTAAGTTAGATATACATGTTGACATTTCTAGAATAACTGAATTAATAGGATTATAATATGAAGGTAAGAAAAAAAAAGTATTGCTACAGAATCTTAGAAACCTTCATTAACCAAAAATATAAAAACGGGAAGCCATTGCTTTTTAATATCTCCACTCTCAAGATCCGTACATTTCTGAAGATGTTATTGCCATCTCTCTAAACCTTTCCTGAAGAATTCTCTGCTGCTCAGGTTAGGCCAGCCGTGCTAACACATAGCTGTCACTCTTTGAGAGACTCAAAGTGTCCTATCTTTTCAATCTTCGTTGAGTTTGGGGAAGAAGAAGAATTCTGAGAGGGCAAGAACAGGGCTGTAGGCAGATGGGGTAAAGTTTCTCAACAAAATTATTTTAGGACAGTCCTTGTTCCCCTCAAAGAACAAACGGGCACATTGTCACATGGGGGGCGGGAAACCTCTCAATGAATATTTCTTGGCCTTTAATCTTACCAATTCAGTTTTAGGTAAAAAAAAAAATCTTCCAAATAGGCCCTCATGATTGTCCTACGTCCAGCAAGGAAATCTATCCAAGCAACCTCTTTAGAATCCCTCCCCAAACAGTCACCATAACCTTCTGAACTAATTTCTTGGCCTTGAAAGCGTCTAGGAGGTTCTCAACCCAGGAAGCCCAGGTCCAAAAAAACTCATGGGGTTCCTGGTTTTTCTTTCTTAGTGGTAGTAGGGCCCTCCTTCTCCGCTCCCTTCTCTCTCCTTTTATCTATTTGAGATAAAAGGTGTGTAGGCCACACCCCAGGCAAACTCCTTTGTTATGGACCAGGGCTGTGACCTGAGTGAGGATGTGGCATCTTGGCTTCATCTTCCCATAATTTATTGGCTGATGAATCAGATCTTGGGGGATGATCATATCATTATATAACTCTGGAATTGCATAATTGCACAATCTATGAAACTCTGCACAGTCTATGAAATTGTGCACAGTCTGTGTGCACAATCTATGAAATTGCACACTTTATGAAACTTTGAAATCAGTATTTGAAAGGGCTAAAGAATATATGAGAGCTGAAAAGTATTTAAAAATTACAAGAAACATTTATTAGACAAAACTATCAAAATATGAAGCTATTCTTTCTAGACATATCCATCGAAGTGTGTATGCTTCTGAAAGCAGTGTTTCCATCTCTTCAATCCTTACTCTGACTGACATTACTTCAAAATGTGGTTTTGGCATCCAGGAGGAGCTCCAATTGTGATCCTGTTTAATTCTTTGAGTTTGAGGAACAACAAAAGAAGTCCAGGGAGGCTAGCTAAGGAGTGTAGGCTGGTCAGAGTAATTTTTCTTAACGGAATGCTC